TATGTATATTTTCAGTTATTTTGCTGGTTTTTTTTTACGTTTCCACAAAATACAACTAGTTGATGACATTGAGGTTGATGAGAAGGTCACTGAGGTGCCGCCCTTTGCCAAAACTCCCTTTATTGCGGCCCATAAACTTTCGAGCACTTTTGCATTTTATGAACTTTACTCGCGCCTTCACAGCTCAACGTAGACAGTTTTATTAACTGACATACTTTTTTCATGGCTTTATCCAGGCACGTATATAAAGCAGGGGGCTGCTATTGTTTGCATTATATTTTCTTTTGCCTTTTAATTTATATTCGTTTCATTATTAATATCAACAAATGTTTGTGGTGTTTTTGTCTGAAGTTTTTTATATACTTCTTTCGTTTGCCTATACGCAACAAATTGAATAATTTCAGTTGAAGTTAAACAAGTAAGAATATTATATTCGTTCGTAACCGTATCCTTTATACCCATCATAGTTATCCTAAAAAAGACTGATTGTTATTTGCTGTTAAGCGAAAATAACGACACAAATTTATTAAATCCTTTCTATTTCTTTTCTACTAACCTACTTAAGCTTACTAACCTTTTGCATTCTCCAAAATATAACGTCTGTTTGTACGAGACGATCCTTCTAACGTTAAATTCCTCAAAGGTACAGGAGGCGTTGTGTGGGTAGTTCCATCGTTTATCCATTAAATTTAGAACTGAAACTATTACGAAGCCCTACAGAACTTAAAAAGAAGGAAAATAACTACATTTTCATATTCGTTAATATTGGGTGGGTGTGGCTGATTGTTTCTGTTTGCAGAATAAAAGTAGAAACTTATATGGTATTTGTGTAGCACGTTATGACTATCAAGCAAAAATCACGGAAGGCAGAAGTGTGCACAGCTTTTATTGCGTAGACGTCTGAAGGTGTTGTGGGCGTATTCTTTGAAAACTTCATTTCACTTCCAAATTCTTTTGCAAATTTATGGATGATATTTTTGCGAACGTCAAATTTTGATACAATATATATAACATTGGGTAGGCGTAGCCAATTTTTCCCATTTTTTTACAAATACTGCAGTATTGCTCATGAAATATTTCTAGTTTTGTTAATTTATTTGTTGTAGTTTATGAGTAAAGAGCAAAAGAACCAATTTTTTATGCCTTTTGAATACCAGAAGCTTAGTTTACGTGTTGTTGTAGGCGTCTCCTTCGAACGATTTGGTCCAATTGCGTGCAAAAGCTTTCAATGTCTCTGTCAAATATTAAATCGATTGCATCATTTTTATGGCCAGGAGAACGTGTACGACAAACGGAAAGACAAACAAGTTAAAATTGATTGAGAATTTGTTGCTGATCGAAAACGTATATACACTTTGTTGCATATTTGAAGCTTGCCCCGTAGCATTGCAAATGTTTCGACAAAAAGAATACATTCCTTATCCTTCGGTGATGAGCATAAAAAATAGGTTTAACTATCCTCATTTCGAAATATATTTAAAATTAAAATTTGCTTTAAATAAAGCATTTACAAATAATTTAAATAATTCAAAATTATGGTTATGATATTGTCTTTTCTTTTCAAAATTCATATCCTTGTTTTATTTTATATTGTAATGTCCTAGTAGAAAAAATACATTCATTATTTACACACGATTAAACAATTTTTATTGAAATCATTGCACCTTTAAACACCCTTACACTTTTATAAAAGCTGTTAAATGAGTTAAGACATATATATATATGCAAAAAGCAAGTGAATTAACAAAGAGGTCTAAAGTATCACTATTGTTCGCTATTGTAACCATGATTGTGCTCGTGCGTTGGTGTTGTGGCCCCAGGTTGGTACGGCCCATTTTGCTTAACCAAGTATGTGTATGTGTATCAGACTTAGTGTTATGTAACCAATGTAGCAGTAAGTTTATCTATGTCGTTTTGTGATTAAAGCAGTTATCTAGATTAATTTTAGGGCAATTTTGCATAATTATCTTGCCTGTTGGTCTACCTTTGGGACAAAAAAGCATGTGGGAGACCACGAAGTTTTAAGAGTAACACTCTACCAATAAAAATACTTTAAGTACAAATATTTATTTAAACCAACCAAAAATAAACTCTAAGATTCTTCGTGCTTATAGGGCACTTCAATACAAACATACCCCGAAGACGTTACAAACCAAAAAGTACAGGTAATTGTCATATGCCAGTCAAATTTAGCATCTCCATAATCTTTTGTAACTTAACAGCTTCCATTTATTGGCACATTCTTATCTTGACAGCATCGGCTATGTTACGAACCCATTGGTTGTCGTCGTCTAAATTGTACACTTTCCTTTGCAACCACTTGGCGTACAATTCTTCGTACGTTTTAAAAAACTTCATCCAATATAGGTGTCATTTGTAGTTTGCGATCTTCTTGCTGCTCCTTTTGTAAAGCTGACTTTTTAAGATTAAGGTTGCCTTTTTCAGCCTTGTCCATATCGCATAAAAGTAGCAAAAAAAAAAGGAAAAGGTTTCGTTACGGATTTATAAGTTTTTAGGAATTAATTTATTTTTGTTTTATTTTTGTTTCAGATTATTCTTTACTTAAGCTGAGTTCATACATGTTTGTTTACGAGTTAGTTATTAACAAAATTTGTTTTTCTCTTTCTTATTAAAACATAATACAATTTTCTTTTTTGTCATTCTTTTGATTTACTCTAGAAGAAATTTCTTTTTTTAATCCCTTTATGTTTCTGCATCCATAAAGACGCTTAGCTTTGAAATAGATGAAATGTATTTAAGTAAAAATCACGACAGTTGGAAATATCTATACTTTTTCGATTCAAATATAGCATTATATATTAAATGACATCAAGTGCATTTTTCAGATTATCTTCAACTTTCGGTGCAGTACGAATTTCAAGTTTCTTAAAAAAAAAAAAAAAACGTTTTCATTCAGTTTTTGATGAGAAAGCAATAAACAGTGTTTTGTTGTTCAACGATTATTCATACCTTGTTTGTTTGCCTATGTCATAAATCGATTGCGACTTGCTCTTTTCCCTCAATAATTACTTTGGTATATTAATCTTCTTATTATTAACACATACAATCATAATTAATTAAAATAGCCACTTCTCCAATCAATATGTTCTAAACGATTGATTTTATAAAATTTATGCCCAACACAACGTCAACGCCAAACAAAATGCTAATCGTCTTTAAGTACTTTAATCATTCTCTTATCTAAAAATCATCAGCTGCTATTAACGTGAGACACACTCGGCAGTTTTTTGTCTTTTTTCAAGATTACTTAGCCATATTTATTCTTAGTAGTATTAATTGCATATTGTTTAAACTTCTCAGTTTAATTATCATTTTCAATAATCTTTTTATTTTTGTGAGACTTCCTTTGCGCCTGAAAGTTTGAAGATTGGACGTGTACAATAATTTATTTATGGAAGAGATTCTCTATGAATCTCTCCCAAAGTGTAAGTAAGTGTTGTTGGAGTTTAGCCCAAAGCTGCTCGGCTTCAATGCGCCAAGTCTGTTTGCTTCTTTATAAATGCCAGACGAGCTAGGCATGAAGCACTCGCTAGTAAAGTTCATAAGGCGGATGGAACGCCTGTGTATCTTTAGCGAATTGATACGCTTTTGAACTGATTTGATACAATCGAGTTCTTTATTAAAAGGTGCACTATTTATACTCAATGTCTCTTTTTTTAGTCTAAGAATTCAATTCATTAGTCTAAAATTAAAATAATTATAATAATAATAATATACTTAATTTCTATACTAAATTATGCTTACCTTAACAAAAATGATAATTGTTTAATTGCGGCGCCTGGCATCGTATTGCATTACGAAATGCAATACTCAGTCAGGTGAAGTGCGACAAAATTTTTGTTTTTCTTTTTTTTTGCTACAGGTGCACTTCAAAGTGGATGCATATGACGGTATGCGATCACACTACAATAATAATATCGATTTTCCACCGAAAATTATCGCTAAAGGAGCATTTTCACTACATTTGCTGCTTTTCTCTATTTTATACTTTTTTCTTTTCTTTTCTATTTTTGAGTTAATTATGTTTCCTTCTTGACAGACATCAAACTTAAAATTTTCTTTTTCTTTGAACCAACATTGTTCTTTCCATTCCTTAACCGCACAAACTTCTTTTTCTTTTATCCGACGTAAACCTCCAAGAACCTCTTGTCTTTTCCTTTGCCGTCCTCTTCCTACCGTACCTAATCTCACGACCAACCAAAAAATTGACAAAAAAGGCGTCAAAACATTACTTACCAATCATGTCATTGCATGGTTTCATTCTCTTGAAAAAAAAGAAAGGAAATGAAACAAGATGCTAAGCTAAAACCTCATGTTACGCTATACGAATTGAAGGTAGAAAAAAACAAAAGATGCGTTTATGGTTTTTCAAAATGCACTTTTTTCTTATTTACTTTATAACCCATAGCGCACAGTGCATCTTATCCTTGAATGAAGTATCTCAAAACGAAGGATTTCAGATGTAATCATAAAATAATCGTCTTTTTAGGCTTTGAAGGTCGTTATTTGTATTGTTTATTTTTCATCTTGCGTATAAATATATATGGGCTACACATCCACTTTTTGGGTGCTCAGAGAATGGATTATTTGAAATGGAAAACTGTTCGCAATTACTATTTTATGAGAAATATATTCGACTTGTTAAATGCATTAGAGTTTCAATGAATTAGGTTTATATTTAATCCACATGAATAAGGAATTCTGCTGACTTACATGCGCCAGCTTGTCTGCTCTTTGAAATCATGATTGCGAATTGAAGATTTTGTTTGGAAGGAGGAATCTAGCGTTTAGTTTTGGTTTTCCTTTTCGCGAGATTATGCAAATTTTGCAAGTCTTCTTGTTCACGCTTACGATAGATATAATAATGATATTATTTTAACAGTTCTTGTACGGTGTTGCTAATTGAAAGCATAACAACTGATTATCGGGATCTGTAAACAATTATAATCATTTTTTTGTTTACCTACTCTGTCTTTCAGGACGATCAATCCGCCCAAAATACAGCGGTACTTGTTTTATGAGTACGGAATGACTTGCCTTTCACTTTTTGATATCGTTTCAACTACAGTTTGGAAAACATTCCATTATGCTTTATGTTTGAGAAACCCGATTAAAATGATTATGACATTAATTCAAAGGGAGTGCTGAACAGTTCAGTATCAGTTTTCTTTACAGCCTATGAGAAGTTGAAATGATAACACAACAATAATAAGTTATCAATTTTCTCTAGTTTTGGTGTAGTTTTTTAATAACTCGCAATCTTTTGATTAATTTAAGACAATCAATCATCATTTCTGTTGTGGCAAGGTGAATTGAATTGAAGTCGCAAGCATATGTGAAGCATCTGGGAAAAATTGGTTGTTGAGACACCAGCTCAAACAAAAGCTGCAGTATGCAAAACTGATAACGATAACTTCTGTAAAGGAGTGTCGCTTCAAAATTGCGGAGACATTGAAAGAATAAGAGTGAGGATGGGATTGATTTGATAGAGGTTACAAATACAAGCTACTTCGGAAAGTAACGCTTCTTACTTCTTCACATAAGTGCGTAAAAAATCGTTGTGATATGAAACAAATTTGTGAAATTACGTTTTTTTACAATCAGACTATCCGTGGTACAGATGTTTTCGATGAAATGGTTTCGAGCTACAGCATAAAAATAGGATCAGGCCAGGAACGCCGGCTGGCGTTTCATAATGAAAGTAAATTTAATTAAATAACCAATTGTTTTTCTTATAAAAATGTAAGCAAAAGTGAAGCGTATTATAATATAATAACACTTCATAGGATTTGTAGATTCGTTAATTACTTAAGTATGCGTATGAATATGTATGCATTCAATTATTACATTTGTAATTATCAAAAAAAAAAAAAAGAAAAAAGATGTTATGTGCAATATACGTATATTATTCTGTGCATCATGTACTTAATTCTCTTTTTTGTGACGCCGTTTATTCCTTTGGTTAAATTTTACAAAAACCTTTTCATTCCTTTCACTCCTTTTTTTTTGCATATTCTGTCGCGTTTCGAACATAATCTTGCACAGCTCTAAGCATTTTTAGATATGTGCGATAATGTATGTAAGTTCATGTGCATGGTTTTGTTTGTATACGTTATATTCATGTCTGTAAATTTTTGCAACCGTCTTTGGACACCAGAAGTATGTTAGATTTGTTTGTGCATTTGAAACATTTAGAAATTTCATCGTATGCTTATTGTCCTAATAATCGAGGAATTCTGAAGTGATTTAATTACGCTTGTCCGTCCGTTCGTATGCTAGTTGATTGTTCACTGAAAGTTCAAGAGGAGAAGAAATTTAGGCAAAACGCTTCTTAAATATACTATCATTGTCATAGTTTCCGTATGGGATTTGAAAATTAATTGAGTCGCAATACAAATACGTTTTTAATGAAGAAAAACTCCACAAAGAAGCAACAATTTTTCTCTTTACGCAATTTTGGAACCAATATTCCAGTTTCAGTAATGATCAGTTTTTACAAAAAAGTTGCGGAGACATATGTTACTGAAGAATCGTGATCGGAGCATTGGCAAACCAAAACAAAAAAAAAAATATTAAATTCTTTAGCTAAAAGAATGAGTATTCAGGATTCGCTCTCGTGGTGACCGGAGTTTTAAAAGTATGATACACATCCACACATACGCGCAGGCATACATGTTTCCCTTTCTTGTTTCCTTCCTTTCATTTTTCCTCTTTTGCACTACACTTAACGGACATTATATTATTCTATAAATGATGTAATCAGTATAATCCTACAAAAGAGATATACAGCAAGTATTTTTTATTCATAATAATGTTTATGTGTTTTCATAACTGATATCAGTGCGAGTTTAAATGCATTTAACCAGATGATGACGGGACAGAATATTTGTTCTACGTGTTGTAATGCAAAAAGTAAAGGAAAAAATTAATAATAATAAAATAATCTGTTTTTAAAATGTAATTTGTAAATAATGCGTATACATACAGATACATGTCTATACATATTTTATAAGTTGTGTGTATGCTGTACTTGACTTTTGCCTATTATGTGGTTTTTATTGTTAATATATAATAAATTGTAACATATGTTTAATGAATTATTAATTGTAAACGAAATTAACTAAATATAATATTAAATGTTTGTAAATGCTATAAAATAGAGTTTTTCTAATAATACAACAACAATTTATTATCATACCAAATTCAACCGCAAATGTTGTTTGAAAAATTAATCTGAGAAATAAAGTAAACAAAAGGCAAATATTTGTTGAAAACGCATTATTTAATATATATATATCGCTTATGGGATGCAGTAGTATTAACTCTCACTTTTACGACTATTCATTGCAATTTTTTTTCAAGAATTAGTTTTTTAAATTTGCGAAAGCGCTTCTAAAAACTCCATAGATATGTGTGGCTTTTACCCAAAATAGCTATGATTTCTAGCGAAACCACAAATAACTAAGGCAGTAATATATATTTTTGGTTTCTAATCGTTTGAATACTTCATGATTTTACAACTAGACAAAATGAAATAATGAGTCAAAACTAGGCCTCCTTCTTAGCATGTTTTCGTTCCAATTTATTTTATAATATTTGGCTGCCATCCATCCAGACGGCTTCGACGGCTTCGAAATCGAGCAACCAGGTGAAGTTCATTTTGCCGTTTGTTGATCCATATTTCAGCGGATAAAGTCAACTTAATTACTTTGAAATTATGACATTTTTGAGAAAATTGTATTCGCCCGTCTCTATGAGCCAAATTAGCTTGTAATTTGTTAATTAATGTGCTGATTGAATTAAAACGCTTTCGGGCTCTACTAAGCCGACCGCTATTTAACTTTTCACACACACTTGTGTTTTTTTTTTTTTTTGCGTTCGAAGTGCAGAACATTGGCACAACTAAGTTTACTTCTACTTTACTTCAAAATGCGCTTAATTTCATTTTATCCTGTTTCCAAAAATCTTAATTTAGTATCGTCTTTTTGAAAAGCAACCTCGCGTTTTTGTTATTTTTTATTAATTGCTTATGAGGAGGACATTTAGACAATATCGGCAAAATGCAAAACCGTTGTCCGTCGCTTCATCCTTTCCGTTTCGAAAAAAGGAAAGCATTTTTACTTTAATTAATTAGTTGTATTTCGCTTGAAGGCAACAACTTTTGTAGCACAGCTTGTTTTGCCTGAAGGACTTTATTTAGAAAAGTGTTTTTATGAATAATTGCAGAGTGATATAGCGTTTTCAACGGTAGACCGTGGCCGATTATGATGTTTTTACTTGGCTTGGAATTTAAAATAAAAAAAAATTTTAAGTAAATTGTTGCATTTATTCTCGTGATGGAGTTTCCATATCCGTCCATTCTTCAGTAGCATTGACAGTAGAAGCGGCTTGCATACGTTTATTCGTTGTTCATCCGTCTATCGAATTCAAGATTCTGACGTCATAACTTTTTCGAAGTGTGCAAAATCCTTTCTATATTTTATCTTAAGATTATAAAACGGCTGAAAATTTTGTTTTTCATTTCTTACGCACAGTAAGCATCGATAAAACTCATTTTTACATGTTTACAAAAACATGTGCATATATAATCACAAGTTATTCAACAAACTTAGGATTCTTTGCGAAGATCTAAACGATATCTATAATTTAATTTGAAAACTTTAGTTTTTATATACAATCAGGAGAACTTCCTCAATATGTGTAACTTATTCATGTCGTGCTTAAATTAATTTTTACTCTTACCAAGTTTTCTTTGGTTGTGTATCTTCTACCTAAAACACCTGCGATTATGTATACGTGATAGGTTTGTAGGTGGTGTTTTATAATATAGACTCTTATTTTTAAATTATTATATCCTTCACAACTTCTGAAATAATAGTATATTAAGCGTGTGCGGATGTATGCAATATCCAGAAGGACTTGAGATAGACCCACCCTTTATTATACTACAAAATTATTTTCTGAATCGATCTAAGTGTGTGGGTTTGTCTGTCCCTCTCATCGTTTTGTTTTCTTGTGTTTAACCTACCGGCTATAATTGTTGAGACATTTTGATCAAATTCGATACGCTGACGTGTTTTGGCCCAAGAAGGAACGATATTGGAAATAGTTCAGATCGGACAACTTTTTCGACTACCTCCCATATAACGCCTTATTTTGTCGTCCCATGAATAATTGTAGGATGGTGGACCTTGGCCCACTAGAGTGTTTTTAAGTGTTTTTTGTTCTTGTTTTCAAACTAATTTTATAGTTTTGGTTAAATTTTTTTAAGTTAACATCGATTTTAAGATATTTCCCCTTGCTTAATTCGACTGCAGTTATTTTTAATGTGCAAATAAATAAATAAATATCTTACAAGAGGCCATGTTTTCTCGTTCGTATCTTTCAAGTAATATGTATATTTGCTCTTCAGCTTGTATAAGAGTGTATGTACACTATGGCAGTGAGGTAATACGCAGAAATACTTAATTTATCCAAAAAGTAATGTACCAAGAAAACGTTGATATGTTAGAAAGATAAATGCGCCTGAAAAACATTCGGTTTCACTTCTACATCTTAGGCTTAATTGGAGGCAAATCGTTGCAAGGAGTTCTGTAAAGTTTGCACTTAATCTGTCGAGGGGAAAAGAAAGAGTTTAGGATAAAATTTTTTGACAAATTTTGAAGCCCATCACCCTTTTTTAAAAACAGTGTGTTATGTCACAGATGCCAGGAAAGTGTAATTTTATTGAAAATAAAGTTCTTAAGAGTTAAAAAAGAGTTTTGTTTTGTTATAAATATTCGACTAAATTAAAGTGTGGCATATAACTTTGTGGTCATTAAAATTTTTGGATAAGAAAGTACAAGTTTTAAAATATACGAAAGAAATTTTTTAAAGAAATTTTAAGTATAAAATGGGGACGTGGTCGCTTTGCCAAAATAATCTTCATTTTCCCTGACTTGCTGCTACAATACATATTGGTATAGGTCACAATTTTGTACGTAGAACAAGTAATGTGATACTGATTGATCAGTGGTAAGTTATTGAAAAAAAACCACTGACGATCACTACACAACCTTATTTTGAAGTTGTAGTTATACTTTCAAGGTTATCGGATGAATACCAAAGGAGTGGTGGAATCCTAAACTCAAAAAATGTGGCTTTAGATGTCAAATTTTAAAAAATATTTGTATTTTATCTTCCATTAATAATAGACAATTACACTGATAGACAATGAACACTTCTACGTGGCATGGTTTGGTTTTAGAATACTTTCGATCCTGATTTGCTTTTTGTCCTTGCCAGTCAAAACACTTGCGATGCGGTTTCCCGCCCATAATCATCTTTTTACGCAATATTTAAACGTTCTAGGAAGAGTATAGCCGAATAAAAAAAA